TACGCCTTGTGACGACTCAAGAGTGATCCCTTCTTTCAGGGTATACTTGTGAGTCGTTACATTTCTCTAGATTTTGGTGCTATCTTATAGTTGTGTTCATCATTGTTTTTACACTTTGTTGGTGACCATCTTTTAGGTAACTTTTTATAACTTTTGTTGATTATAGTGGAGTTTAGTTCATGTGGTTTATACTCTTCACACCGAAGAGGTTTTCCACGTTAAATTTTGTGTCTCTTGTGTTGATTTATTTTTCTTGCTTGGTTGATTAATTATCTGCCCAAACTATTTTATTCTTGCATTATTTTGTCTTCTCTTGGCCCAAATATAATGAAATGTTTTGACTTAGGGATTTAACCTGAATAAGGGAAATGATTTTGATGATATATTCTCTCCAGCTGTGAATAAGGGTTCTAGGCTTTGCTGCAAGTCTGGATTTTGAGGTTGAACAAATGGATGTTAAAAATTTTTTATTACATGGTGACTTGGATGAAGAAATTTATATGGAGCAGCCACAAGACTTTGAACTCAAGGGAAAAGAGAGTTATGTTCGCAAATTGAAGAAGAGCTTCTATGGTATAAAACAAACTCCCAGACAATGGTACAAGGTTTGGTTCTTTTATGTGTCAACATGGCTTCAAGAAGACTTCTTCATATCATTGTGTTTTTGTGCGAAAATTCTCAAATGATGACTTTATTATCGTTTTGTTTTATGTTGATGACATGCTTGTTGTTAATCAGAATGCTTGAAGGATTAAAGAGTTGAAGCAAGAATTGAATAAGTCTTTTGCTATGGAATACTTGGGACTAGCAACCTAGATTCTTGTCATTCAAATTGTCTGTGATAGAGATGCCAAGAAATTGTGGTTCTCGCAAAAGAAGTACATTCAGAAAGTACTTCGTAGATTTAACATGGACAAAGCTAAGGTTGTCAGTACACCATTAGCTATGCACTTCAAATTGAGTACTAGACATCATCCTTCCGTTGATGGTGAGAAGGAAGATATGAAGCAAGTTCCTTATGCTTCAGTTGTTGGAAGTTTGATGTATATGATGGTGTGTACAAGACCAGATATTGCTCATGATGTTTGCATTTTTAGCCATTTTCTTTCTAATCCAGGGAGAGCATTGGAATGTTGTAAAGTTGATTATGAGATATCTTTGTGGCACTTCTATTCTGTGTTTGTGTTTTTGGATAGGGAAACCTATTCTTTGTGGTTATACTTATTCAGACATGGCTGGTGATGTTCATACTCGTAAATCTACTTCAGGCTACTTGATTACTTTTGTAGAAGGAGTTGTATCTTAGAAATCTACATTGCAAAAATATGTTGCTTTATCTACTACAGAGGCCGAGGCTTCCAAAGAATTGATCTGGGTGAAGAGATTCTTGGGAGAACTTGGTTGTTCTCAAAAGAGGTATGTACTTTATTGCGACAGTCAAAGTGTTATTCATCTTGGTAAGAATTCTACATTTCATGGTCGATCTAAACACATTAATGTGAGGTATCATTTGATTCAATACGTGTTGAATTCTAAGTTGCTTGAACTTGAGAAAATCCATACCAATTATCATGGTTCCGACATGACGACTAAAGCTTTTCCAAGAGGGATGTTTGAGGATTGATGCATGATCACCGAGATACTGATTACCTCCACATAGTCGGTAGGGGGGAGAATTTTTGGGTGGGATTTTTTCCCTTCCTATGTGGATAAATAAAAGTCCAAGGTTATTGGGTCTTCCATCCTTTCCTTAGTGGATAAATTTAACCCAAATTTGACTAGCACACTTTTTCCCATAAGTCCCATATTATGGTTCATATGTATGACTCTCTTAGGTCTTATTTGAGAGGAATCAAAAGAGATTGAGTGCAGCCATGACAGAAATGTGAGAAAATGCTGATTTTTGCACAAATCCTAGCAACCATTTTCAAATCGCATTCTCGCTTCGTTTCTTGTCTGATTAAGCTGATGTTCATACAACGTGTTTCTTTCAACTTAATCTTTAATTGGGAAGTGAAATAGAGTATTTGAAGTCCGCTAGCCTTAGATTTTATCTTGTGAACAGTAGCTGCGGTTTGGTGTTTTTGCTTCTCTTATTTCTCTATTTTTTGGTGCTGTATTGTAGTTGTGTTGCTCATTGGTTTGACGCTTTGTTGGTGACCATTTTGGAGGAAACTTTTAGAATTCTTGTTTATTATAGTGTTGTTTTGTTCTTGTGTTTTTCACTCTTCAGACCAAAGAGGTTTTCTATATTAAATTTGGCGTCTCTTTTGTTGATTTATTTTTCTTGTTTGGTTGATTAGTTTTCTTCCTAGAGTATATTATTCTTGAATTATTGTCTTCTCTTGGTTAAAATAGAAGGGAATGTTTTGACTTGGGTTTCTTCCGCTATCGCCTTGTCGTGCACATTTATTTTGTGCTTGCCTTTCCCAACATTTATAATACTACAAACTTTGATCTCCGCATTCGCAAGTACGGTATCACATTTTCCAAGATTAGGTGCCTTGGCCTTCACATTGTGAGATGGACTCTGGACAGCATAGAGGAGCCTCCTTGACCCGCTGCAGGTGGCCTTCCCGGCTAGGGGCCCCCATTCACGAAAGTTAATTTACTAGTCTTTTAAATAAGACCAGTATGATAATCAGCCCTCTTCAATGGATGCAAACTTTACTAACTCTAGATAGGGAACTCCAAATGAGATGTTGATACTTGCATTGGTTTGGGAATTTGTGGCGTTTTTTGTTGAGGTAAGCAGGGCAGTGCAGGGGCTTGTTTTGAAGGTAATTTTTCATCATAATAACTTTTTCTCGCCCTTTAATGGTGATTTTGGTGATCAAAGTATTGAATGAGTTGTTGTAACCTGTTTTCAAGCTTGGATTGTGCCTGTGTTGGGCACAAGTTCCTTTAGTTTCTTAGTACCTATCGACAGAGTAATTTTTAAAATTTCATATGCGGGTCCCATAATTCTTTTTTGACTCAAATTTGGGCCCATCTGTAATTCATTTGATTTTTGTGTCTTAACATCTGTATTGACATTGTGATAAATAGTATGATAGTGTGGTGGTGAGGTTGTTCGGAAGGGGGAAATTTGGTTTAATAGATTGGGAGCGTGTGTGATCGGATTCGAGGTAGGGTATGATCTACTTTTTTTATTATGATATATTCGATAATATTTTAGTATTAATAGAACATGAGTTATGATTATATTTGTAATTGTTAGAGATCCTTCCCTATTTCAATCTCCTTATTTCCCGTAGAACGTCAAGCTAGACGTGGGTGGTGGGACACTTAGCTTAGGTTAGTAGCCCCTTGCTTATAACATAGTTAATGCAATTACCATCGTTAAAGTTGATACTTAAGGCCTTAGTTTATATGGTGACTTAGATGCCGTAGTATGCATTTTAGTGATCCTTCAGTTTTTAGTTTCTCCCTATAGTGATTGTTACAGTTTCGTACCCTATGTTAGGGTGAAACCTTAGCTTTTTGTCGTGAATTTCATGGGTTGGAATTAGTTGTCCTCCATTGTGAGCTTAAGTGGCATGTTTGGGGTAAGACGTTGATCCTTGATTTATCCTCCTTTCGATTATAAAAAATCTTCATTAATTTCTTTGTTTCATGTGTACTGGTGAACTTGTTATGTTGTTATTGTTGAGAATGTAAGTAGATTTATGGGCTCAAGGCCTTTATCGATGGCCAACTAGATTTCAAGTTAGTTTTCTATTCTCTAAGAGTGTGATAGTATTGGTAGTGTTTATGTAGTGGTTTAGGTGCTATTATTTGAAAGATGGTGATGGCATGCATTGCTTTCGAAACCTGTTTTGCGTGTTTTGCGGTACGATCCAGGCACATGCATTGGATGTTAACAACTATTTTCAGGAAAGTTATTTTCACACTATTACTCTTTTAAAACAAGTTTTGATGGAAGTTGTACCACTTGGATCACTTTAATAAACTAATTTTTAAAACATTAGAGGAATCTTGGATGTGCTCACATTTTACACGATCAGTTGGCACATCGTCCCCCTTTTTCAATAATGATTTGTTTGCTAGTGTCTTTGGTACTATGACATATCAGATATGGTACTGTGACGAGTAGGTTTAGATGTCCTAGATCTGGACCAAGAAATGTATACGGACTTCCCCAATCCCCTATGAGTCTGTCTGGCCGTGTGAATTATTGAATAGGGTAAGGGTATAAGTAGATGTATACTTGAATTCCAGGTTTGTACACTATTTCACGTGTGATTGTATGAGTTGGTACACATACTCACGCATATGCATATGCACATATATGGATCATAATAGGATTTTGAGGCAAAATACTAATTTTTTGGGCTTTAAATTTGAACTGTCTTATGTTTGCTGATTCGAGCTTCGAGGGAGCGTACTACTTATTTTACTGTAAGTTGTGATTTTATAATGAAATGTATCATTATTGTATGGATTTTTAAATTATAAAAACATTGATATCCTGAAATTTTATGATTTGGGCAGACTATACTATCTTTACCTTCTGTTTGAGGGGCATTCCTGAATTATTTCTCTGTTTATTTTTTTTTTGATAAGACATAGGTACAATTTTGGGTGGTCAAAAGATTTTACTTTCCTGCCTTGACCAAGATATCGCGTTGCATAATCCCATACTACACTGCACCACTCATGTATGTATATATGTGAATATTTTGTGAGTAGTTATCTAAAGGACATTGGGAATTAAAGTTCTTTAATTAGCTGAGCATCTTTATCAGTTAGTAGTTTTAACATGTGATTAGATAATCTGAAAAAAATTGTCCCACTTGAATGTGGTCTAACACTAATACCAAAACTATGATAGAAATAATCTTAATTTATAATATTGGAATCTAAAGATTGAATCAAACACATCATTTAATAGTCCCAAATTATATCTCGGGCACTAAATCACCTCTAATTAAAAGACAAGCAACGAAAAAAGAAATGCAGTATAAATTTGGTATTAGTTGTAGAAAATGGAAACTAACCTGTTCGACTAGAATATTGAAGGAGTGTAAAGAAGCATGAATATCTTGAAGCACTAATGATGCAACATTTATTGTTGTTGTAGAACAGTAAGAGGTCTTGTCCATTCTGGTCCATGTTTCTTTTCCATCCCTGTATTATTTCCTCTTTAGTGTTCCAATATATATTTGTGTGTGTGTGAGAGAGACAGAGAGAGAGAGAATATAAGCACAAATTATTTGGGAGACTTTCCTGACATACTTTAACACACTCTTAAAAAGGTGAAATTCAACTTCAATGCCTACATTCATAACCAGGAGATATATAGGTATAAAAAGACATAAGTTCAATAATGTATTGAAATTTTCAAGTCATGGACAAGAGATATTATAACATACGAAACCAAATTCATCTTCCAAAATTTTAGTGAATATACGAAGTACATCTCTTGGACAATATTGCCATGCTTTACCAGATTCAGTTAACATATCAGCCAACACCATTTCTTGATTTCTTGCCCTGGATCAAAAAGTACACACGAATATGATAACAAATGTGTAAAATCTAGAAACAACAACATTATTCCTAATTACCCAAACACACGATAACTAAAACAAACAGTTGTCATGTCAATTTGTACAATATTATGCCTAGTCATGAATGTACAATTGCCTCCCTACAAGTTACTTGCAACTATCGATATCTTTAATTTTTTCATCTACCTTAGCACCTATTTATTCCTCGTGATTCAATAGTGGTGACTTTCTGATTAGATTCCATAAGAGTACTTACACAACTTGAATATGATAAGCTCATGTCACTGATCAACTCGAATGCCTAATTATATAGAAATGATGTTTCTTTTGTAAATAACTAACTTATCTTAGAAGCATTTGATTTGATTTTTTATCACTGATTTATAGATATCTGCTAGTTGGTTTTATCTACCATAAAGTACACATTTTCCTCTACTTAAAACATAGTTAGTGATGGAAAAGATCTGGGGATCAAATTTCACAACTATGACATTATCAGCAGGAATCTTCATGCCTAAACCATGAAAAGCAATAAGACCCGCGCATGAAGAGGCATGTTGAATACATAAGTATCTGGATATGCTCTCTGTTTAAGTATTTAAGATTTTCGATGATAAAATTGTCACATAAAGTCGGTACAAGAGTTTTTTGCACTTTCCCGAGTGTATCCCTACTCTTTTATGTTTTCCTACTCCAAATTAAGCATGTTTTCTCTTCTTAGACCAGCTGAAACCCAAAAGTTCAAAGTCAAAAGTTGGAAACCTCTGAGACTACTGCTTAAAATATCCTTATCACAAGAAAACTCTAAAACTAGTGTTTTGCAATCTCAGGCAGCCAATGTTTGAACTTTCAATGAGCAACACTAATTGGTCATTCAACAATTTTATGGTTACACAGATATTTGATTAAGTGATATTTTTAAGTAAACCTACTCAAGAGCCAAATATGAAACCCAAAAATATGAACTCAAGATAAAGGTAACAACCACGAAGTAATGGGCACGATAAACTACTGAGTATGCGGGTTACTTCCTCATCTTATCATTCTGACTTGTCAATGAAATTTAAAGGTAAGATAAAACAATTTATCAAAGGTTATATTATAGAGGTTAGAGAAAAGAATATTGAAGAATACGTTGGTTTGGAAGTAGTACGTACAAATATTGTATTTAGTTGATAAGTCAGGAACAACTCTGACCTCACCTGAGGAGGGAAGTGAATGTTGTTCACATAATTCATCAGATATTGAACTCAATCTCATACATTCAACAGTTAAGCCAACACCATGTTTCTTCACATAACTATAGTAGCGATGTTGGGGAACAACCTGTAAGTGATGAAAAAGAAATGAACAAATTCAATATAATTTTGATCAAAGAAAGGAAATGCCAATTACTATCCAACATCATGCCATAACAGTACTTACAAATATTGAAATCTACACCAATAAATGAAATGACTTTGCTCATACTAGTGCTAAATCACTTCAGGTTACACCTAGATGTCTTAAGAAATACTTTTTTAAAAATTTGTTTGGAGTTCACATACTTAATTTTCTTAATCAATAAATATACCGCTTACTTATTCTTAGTGTCTTTCTTCAGCCTAATAAGAAATTTCATGATAAAGAACTTAATGTAGCAAGTTAAATTCGTTCTGAAATGCATTGCCATATGGTTGAGCTTAGTTTGAAAGTTTCATTAACCATTGCAAATTGGCAATTCATTGCATAAGGTTAATTAAAACTCCTATATTTTATTGGTACATAAATAAAACATGTATTTGTAAAGAAAAAAAATCCATAATGTACAAGTCTTTTTCCTCAGTTGCCTAATAGAAGAAAAGGAAAAACATCTTTGATTAGATGAAATTGAGTTAAGTATGATATACTCCTCCAAATATCTTGTGCAAAAACCTTAATCCTCAGGCTTTTGATGTGCATGAATGTTGTAATCACAAGTACATCATGATTTACTTTAAACTAATTACCCAATATATGTATCTTTTGTTGTTGATAGATAATAACTTTATTTGTACACTATTCAAAATCCTGGTTTTTCTTAAAGTGGAACAGAGATCTGAGTATGTTGTAGGCATTGAAAAACATATCATTAGGCAATTCGTAATCTTTATATAGGTAAAAAAACAAGGTAAAGCTTACACGTCATCTATGTTGAGAAGAGAAATCTAACCAAATAATGCGAACAGCGGTAACATCTGTCAATGGACCATTTAAGTCTTCCTTTTTGAAGGGATTTGATAAAGACTGAGGTTCTACATCAGAATATATTGATGAAGCATCAATCTTGTAAAATTTCTTTGCATTTTCGGCAAAAATAGCTTTAACAATTGCAATAGCTTCTGTAATTGAAAGGTCATCATGGAAGCATGCATCCAATAGAAAATTTAATACGACTTCACGTGCTTTCTTTCCACCTACAGATAAAACCAAGTAGAGACTATGATTACTCCAAAATATATTGAAGATAGTAAAAAAAATATTACACTTAGCTAACATATTATATTCAAGTTGGATGTTAGTTGTTTGGCAATGACTCTCTATTCTGTACAGATACTAAAGGAACTATTGGCTTGATAATGGACTCAAGCAGGCTCCATGAGCATAGAAGAATTTTCTTATGGATGTATCCAGAAGAATTTCTAGAATAATCTTATAAATTTGTATTCATGACGATTCAATAATTCGTCCAAAATCTTGCTACTCATCCCTAACTTCCTCTTCTTTAGTTGAGTCTCCCAATTTTAGTTAACAATTACAGCATGGTTTGGGTACTTACTCGATTAGATATGAATAAAACATTTAATTCTCAGACGGATGAGTCAATCTGACCGGACAATTCATGTGTGAGAGGACATGCTTCGAGCTTGTGTAATTGATTTTGGTGCTAGATGGGATCGACATTATTCATTCCATTATCCAGATAGCCCATTTTGAGGCTTTGTATGGCAGATGTAGATCTCTGATCGGATAGTTTGATTCAGCTGAGATGAACCCATTGAATACAGACGTAGAGATTCAATGGAGAAGATTCGTATGATTAAGGGTAGACTGTTGACTACCGGAGGTGAGGGAAGAGTTATGCAAATCACACAGTTCGAGATCTAGTGTTCATGAAGGGTGATCATGTTTTGCTTCGACTGTCGCCCATGAAGGGTGTTTTGAGGTTCTGAAATAAGGGAAATCTTATCCTTAGATTCATTATACCCTTTGAGATTTTGAATACTCTGGGAGAGGTGGCCTATAAGTTGGCTCTGCCACTTAATTTGTCATATGTGCATCTCGTATTTCAAGTATTTATGCTTCAGAAGTATGTATCACATTAGTCTCATGTACTTTCTCTTAATTTTGTTTAGTTGGGTCGAAACTTATCCTTCGGGGAGGAGCCTATATCAATTTTGTAGGTCTGGAAAGTTAGGACCAAAGAGACTATTTCACTGAAGGTGCAGTGGAAGCATCTTTCACTCAGTGAGGCGACTTGGGAGGCAGAGTCAACTATATGTGTTACATATCCTCAGTTTTTTAAAGCTTCATGTACTTTCTTTTGCTTTATCTTCAAGGACAAACATAGTTTATAGTGGTGGATATAATGAAATGACAAAGTTGGTCATTTTTGAAAAGTTTCATTAATTGACCATTTTGGTCCTCCCGATATCGATCCCGAGTCTTTTTTGATCGAGTTTTAAAAGTTAGTTTTAAATTTCGAGTTAAAAGTTGAGAATTTTGTAAGTTTTAAGATTGAAAGGCTTATATTTTTAAGAAATTAATCTTTGGAGTCTTTTCAAGTTTTGAGTGTCGGAATGGAATTCCATCTAATCCATTAATCCCAAAATGTGGAATCTCAGTTGTGAAAGTTGTCGGTTCCATATTCCAAGTGTTTATGAGGATTTGAGATCCTAAGTTGTGAATTTGTAAAAATTGAGCCTTTTGGTTAACTTGGTCAATATTCAGGGTTCAGATGCTCGGATAGAAATTTTGAGAATTTCGTTGGATTTAGGTGATAATTTTAGGCCTATGTGAGGTCTTGGTTGATTTTGAGAGGCTCCGAGCTTGTTTTAGCCTTTTTAGACGTTGGGTTGGTTTCTTCTATTTTTCATGGATGTCGAATTAAAGAGACCTTGGATTTATATTTTGACGGTTCAATTGAGTTCGAAACTTTGAGAATAATTGATATACGTAAGTGGTTTGTGGTCATGTAACAAAATCTGCCTTTTGATGCTTTGAGAGTTTGTTGTATTTGTTGGTGTCTGCAAGCCTCACTTTTGCGAAGACCGATAACTTTTGTGACCTTCATAGAAGTGAGAGCTACACTTTTTGCGAGGTTCGCTTAAACAAACCCTGGTTGCTTTTGTGAGACCTGAGAACATTTTAACCTACAAATTTTGAGGTGTAAGATCCATCTTCCATTTTTGATTTTGGGGAACCCTTTGAGGAAATTTGCGAAAGATTTTCTTGTGCTAAATCATTTGGGTAAGCTTTCTTTATCCTAAACCTTTATTTTCATTTGGTTATTTAGGATTCTATCATAATATGATATTTGATTTGGATAATGACAAGGTTTACAAGTACTTGAGTTAAATCTAAAATGGTGATTTAGAGGTGGTTGTGATCCCTTTGTCGAAATGGGTTTCATAATGAGTTCTTAATGGTTTTAAACACTGTTTTAAAGTATTGTTTTCTGGATTCAAACCTTCATTTTTTAAATTGGGTTTTGGGTTGATTGACCCGTTTTTCAAGAGAAATCATGTGGGTATTCTTGTTTCTAGTAAGTGATTAATGATTTCTTGTTGGTTATAGATTGTGTGGCTTTGAAAGATTTGAAAGGGGAATGCTCAACTAATGGAGTGTCCTTGTATTCTAGTAGAATTTGTGTACTTCCTTCGTTAGTTTTGTGATGGGAGTAAAGAGAATAATGTGAAGGATTTAATCGTCCACTTGATACATATAAATGAATAAAAAAGAGTTAAAATAAAAAAGGCCATGTGATGATTATGATGATGTGAATTGCCTTATTGTGACCTTCGTTGATTGATTGATTAAATGCTTGAAAGCACGAACGTAAACTTGAAATGTATGATTTGTTGTATCTCCCATGTGGTGTGATATTGCGTGTGTGCATTTATTGTTGAACACCGTGATGGGACATGAGATGAATTATCATACCAAAGTCTTTGTTGATGAGTGTGATTACGCCGAGGTCATTTTCAACAAGTATTTATGAAGCCGATGGAAAATGATTTCGGCTAGTGATTTCATATAAAGTCAATGGGAAGTGTTTCCGACTAGTAATATCGTGTCGATGGGAAATTTTTCTAGCATGAGATTGATTTTTTGACTTGATGCCTTTGATGCGTCTACGTGATTTTCTCTTCTAATTTAGATTGATGTACTTGTTGCTTATTACTGAACTACATGACTTTGAGACTGACTTATATATTGATTCATTTGATTAATGATTTGTTACCATGAACTGCAGATATTGGGCCTTGTGAATTGATTATGTAAAACTTTTGGGTTGGGTTGATTTATGTGAAGGTTATTGTTTGAGGAGGTTAGGTTGGAGTGTAAAAGGTATTCGATTTCTAGCTAGATTTCTTCTTTATAGTTTGTCTTGTTGGTAATCACTCCTTGCTTCTACACTTGTGTAGGTTTTTCAGCTCAGACCCGTGTGATCTCTTTCTCCTTTTTCTAATTTAAGGCTTGTCGAGGATTTTGGGAGGTACCTGTTTTTCACATTGCGGATCCTCTTTTTCATTTTCTTTACTCTTTTCTATTTGAGAAACAAATATTGAGACGTCTATTTATTTCTTAATTTTGCACTCTATGTATTTAGTGGTTTGTACACCTGATAATCAAATTTTGGACGAAATAGTGTTTAGAATGAAAAAGTTTTCCGCATGTGTCTTGTTCTTGATTCATATTTCTGTATTTCCTTCATTTTTGTTGTGTTGAGGCTGACTGGTCTTGGTGGGAATAGACAAGTGTCATCACGTATATTTTTGAATCATGACATAAATCATGAATATGGTCAATGCAGTTTAATAATCATATGAGAAGCTTCATAAACATTCAAGAAAAACTTAGTTAATTTGTGGGATATTTACTATTAACCGACATAGAGCACGTGACCTATAACATGAAATCCGGTATCTTGCTCTCCATCAAAAAGAGATATCCTTACATTCCAAGGCAAGAACCTTAAATTCTAGAGTAGGTTGATCCAATACCTATGTCACTTAAGACAATCCTACAAGGGCACACAACTAGGAACAAGAAGATTGATACTAGACACCCGATATTTACTAATGGGAAAGCCTCCATCTCAAATATTTCCTCTCGGTGCTATGTAAAAATCCAACATAATAGTCATACACAAATACATATAACACATGGAAAAACACAATTAAGTTACTCATCCAAGCTTAAAAAATCATAGAGCAACTCCTTAGATAATGTTTCAGAAAACCTTTCACTAATCATGATTTCTTAGTGTGAAAAACCATTCACAATTCAGTATATGTGAGAATATCCTTTCACAATTAATTGATGCTTATTTTGAAGCAAATTTGATAATAAAACATTCATTTTCATAAAGCATGCATACTTTCATGTAAGGTTTGCTTATACCCTAACTCCTCAAACCCCACTTTTTTAGATTTCAATGGGTTTGTTATTGTTGTAATATTTAAGATAAGAATCTCTAGACATACCTAGGTAAAATCTTTCAGCAAATGCGATGCCACTACTGTTGATCATGACCTGTTGATATTTAAGCATTATATGAGTAAATGCTCATTGTTTTAACAGTACAATAATAAGGCGATGGAGTGGGAGCTAATATAATATCGATTAGGCTTAATTGAAAATATTGTTTTTTGTATGTTGAAGTACAGATAACCTTATTGATGGGAGCAAGGTCCATAATTTCTTTAACTGAGGACACAAACCCATGAAAGTTAGGCTTAGGAACCCTCAACCCAAAATCAAGATAGACCTGTAAAGGAGACAAACAAAAATATAAGCTTGTTTACATAGATGTGAATAACACTTCAATGTGGCATTGTTGTTAGAAAAGAGCATACTTGAGGGTAGACGGAAGACAGATTTGAAGCTTCCTTTAAGAAAGGGAATGATGCATGTAAAATCACTAATCGATTCTTAGTGAATCTCTTATCCTCGAGAAGATTGGGAAGATTAAGGGGACTCCCTGGCCTCAGATCTAAATCCTTCTCCAAACTGTAAATGAAAAATTTAGTTTTCAAGGACTGCGAATAATAATAACAATATAATATGTAACCACAAAAATAGTCTTTTTTTCACCCTGTGTGTATCTGCATTGGCAAGTTGAAATTTTTAGCCACCTCCAAAGCATGCATAAAAATATAATCGCTAAAATTCTTGTTGGAGATTCTGACTGGCTTCCCTGCTGGAAATACAGAATCTATTATCAGAATCACATGAAAGTCATATACATAAGAACCCCAAATCTTGTAAGACTCACCGCATAAAATGTCAATCAGACCCTCCTCAGCCTCCTTTTGTGTCACTTTTGTATTAATTGCAAGGACACTACGATGTGCAATAATATTTTTAAAGGCAACAACTTTATCACCTTCTGTGTGCAACACTAAGGAACAACTTGCAAGATATTAACTCGTTATGAATCAAAAGAAACATATATTGACTAAAACTTTAAAGGATATGACTTCAATTCCTTAGTGAAAGTCTCCACAAATGAACTCAGTGTCCACGACTTCCCATTTGAACCCTCCAATAGAATATAAGAGGAGAAATATATCAACACATCTAAAAGAGTTGATAGAACAATGATAAAAATATAATAGAGATATGAATGCTGAAAGAATGAGATTTTCACTTACTTATGCCAATGATTCAAGTAATACACTTCATAATGATAAGATGAAAATGTCCCTTTATAGCCACATAATCTGGGGATAAGCCCTAAATATTACATGAAAGTAAAAGGAGGACCCAAAAGAGAGATAACAAAAAATATTCATTCAATGTTACGAAACAAAAATATAACCAGTTTTATACACAAAGTCTGAATAATTGAGCAATTAGTTAATCTTAACAAACTTATACAGTAGCTACTCATAAACAAGGGAAAGTACCGATTACCGAACCATCTTTTTATGTTACACCTTTCTCGTCCTTCAACAGCAAGCTAGGGACTTTAAAATTTTTAGTATTCCTAGTCCGGAACTAAGGTATTCATGTTGAAGACATATATTTTTTAAGGGATCTATTTCATTGTCACCAATCCTTGCACTGATTTTGTCCTGGATATTAGAGAACCTCCAAATGTAACTAATTACCCTGTGATATAAACTTGCTGGTGATAGGACAGGCAGTCCATTCAACATTAAAGTATGTCGTAGTATTAGTGATTTAGGGAACACTTTCAGGTGAAACTAAAGTCCCAATATATATATATATATATGATGTAGTGTATCTCGTTTTACTATATATAATCTTACATTACCTTCTCAAGGATATTTTCAGCAACATGTTCAACTTGTAGTATTCTACCAACTGTTGGTACAAATCTTTCATGCCATTTGATGTCAAGTTTTTGGTCCAATTTAATTCCATCATCAATAAGTAAGATAGCAATTCTTGCGGCTTTAAAGCAAACTGCAGCACTCGCCTCAAACCCTAAGCATCGACGAGATTCCTCAACAGCATGTAAGGATAAGCTTGAGCCATACAGTTCACAAATTTCATTTAGATTTACCTGGACGATACAGTTACTGCTGTAAGAAGAATGACAAAGGGGGGAAATGATAATGTGTAAGAACGGATCCATGATTTTGACTCGATAGCATTAATAAGTAATTAATATAAATGAGAAGAACGGTACTGTTTATTTTTCCTTGTCCAGACATCATGAATGAAGTAATGATTAAGAACTAATCCATGATTATGACAAGATAGAATTCATAAGTACATTGTACAAATGAGAAGAACACCATTGGCTTGTCCTTGGCCAAACATCATGAATGAAGTAACAATTTATAATACAAGAAAATTACTAAATAAGATGTGTGGAGGAAACTTTTATTTTTGTTTTATCTCTATGTTATTCTGATCAAATAGTATATGAGGAAAAGTACAACATAGATGCCAAGACTCATATCACATTTACATAATGGAAACACACAATAAGGAAATAATTGTTGCCTGAAAAAAATTGAAGAGTCATGTTCGATACCCCGAGAGGACCACACAAAAAAAATATTATAAAAAAATAAATAAAATGTGAAATATTACCATACCAACCAAATAGGTACAACCTAAGGATCCTCTAGTGTTCTCGGCCACCTTGTAAGAAGGGTAGCTCAAACCACTAGATCTCAAGAAACAAACATCTAATTAAATATGTTTTAATATCGAACTCCTGAAATCTATTAGCTTTCATTGTGAACGGCAACATGTATATGCTTTCATGTATTTCCTTCCTTATTTATTTAATAATAAACTCGGCCATGTGTAGTAGATCATTGCCCCTCATTTAAATGCTACTATCTCCTTTTGGAACTCATATTTCCACCTTTTTGTATTGATCAATAGGAGTGTTTCACTGATACACTCCTATGCAATGTATCGCTATCCCTTGCTAGCTACTCAACCGATTATCGACTGCTGATGCCCATCTTCATTTTGCCAAAACATTCAGTTATTTCTCTTCCTAGTCCTCATCACATAGGCAAAATTTGTTAGTATCATTGGGGATATAATATTCAACCTTAGTAACCTCTCCTTCATAAGTAGTTTTCCTCGGTAGGCCAGCCAAACTATTATCCATTGATTGGAAAGAATACTGAGCTCCATATTAAGTCAGCTTCCTGCAGTCTAGGCATGGTGACTGGTGACCTCAACATTGTTTGATTGAAGTCTTCGTTTCTATGTTCTGCTAATTTTTCTTTTATATAGGCTGACATTTCTGTTTTATGAGCACTTAGGTTCTTATTTTGCTAACCAGACTGCTTTGATATCACCTGTTTTCTTACATTCCGAGATTGTGAGTTGGTTTAGCCTAGACAACTCTCTCATTCACACTATCTTTTTTGGAACTTGGAACATGGATAAAATGCACAAGAGATGTTAGAAAGAAATCCACTGCTCCCTCAGTTGCGATATATTCGTCTTCGTTTCTTTTTAAGTCCTCATTTGCACTATATAGAGCTTTGAATCTGAATCATATAGACCTGAGGCCATTAAATGAATTTGTCTTAATCACTTATTTAGTATGATTAGGGTCGACCTCATTAGTTTTTCTTTGAGAGTAAGAAGTCTGTATTCAATATGTTGATCTGATTTACATACTCTGTATTATTTATTAATTTCTACTCTACTTGGTAATAATGGGAATGAAAGAAAATGTTATGTAATTAAGAAATTGCAGAGAGGGATAAGAAATAGACCTGGAAATTGACGAAATTAGGAGAATCAGATGCAGTTTTGGCTCCTATGAATTCAGAAAAACAGCTAATGAATGGGAGAGTGGAGTCAAGCGCCACAATGTTGTGTGCATGAGCATCCACCATTTCTACGCTCTCCACTGCTCTTTTCAGGTCTTCAAAATTCTCCATATTTTGTCTTCCCTTACCAATTTCACGTCATAAAGTTAATACACTCAAATCACATATCTATTCCTATACACTTGTGACTAATTCATGACCATAATATTATCGGAATCACCATAAAAATCGTTCCACTAGTACAGTTATGTTGGTAATGTGAAATGGTCTCTATAGATCCAACAATTGTATGACGCTTTTCCTGATTGACATGTAGACCTCCTAGATCTACTTATTATACAATATTTTTTCCCTATATCCTTTTCTCTCCTTTTTTTTTCTATTAATATATTAAAAGCCCAAAAAGGCTAAGATGTACTCCCTCAACTTTAACCAACAATTTAAAATATATTACTCACTCCATTTTATTTTATGTGGCTACAATTGATGGGACATGAAATTTAAGAAACAATGAATACTTTGAAATGTTAACTAAATTATTCTTTAAAAAAGTAAATTCACTTTTCTTTCTCCTCATAAATATATTAGCCTACTTTCTTTAAATTAAGTGGGACCAACAAAGGTAAAAAAAATGAATTGTGCCTTCAAATACTTACCATATAAGAAAATGTCATATTCTTTTTGAGATTGAACAAAAAGAAAAATGGTGTTACATAAAATGACACGGACGGAGTATAATTTTTATTTAGTATATATACTCATGGATAAAGATCCGGTCAAGTATAATTATGTCAAGTTATGATCAATGACCTTATATATTCATGTCATGTGTTCAATATAATAACTTATGATTGAGATTCATTTAAATTATATATTCATCTTAACAATAAAAACAACAAAACCGTCACCTATTTTTATCTTTTAAAACTATTAAATAAAGCAATAATAACACTATTCGTTTAGTTTATTTCTCTCCGATATCGACTATCAATATTGTTCTTTCGCTCCGATTACTGCATTATTTCATTTTGTTACTACTCTTTCTCTTATTTGTTGTGTACTACTTTGCATTTTTAATTATTATGTTGTTATTGCTCTCCTATTTGTATCCCCCTTTTCAAACTATTTGGTAGCTTTATTGAAGTATAAGTTCTAAAGGAAACAAACTCTCTATATCTACAAATAGGGATAACTTTAGCGTATGCGTTATCTTTTTTAAATCACACTTATGAAATCACACTAAATATATTATTGATGAGTATTATTTCTATCCAACTTGATTCGACACATATGGGATAACTTGTAATTTTTACCAATACTTGGAAAAAGGGTGATAAAAAGGAGGGATGTTAAACTTGTAGCGTTAATCTTACCGTTATTGTAAAAAATAAATGCATATTTTCAATTGATTGGTATGGTTTTCTCAAAAGGTACGAGGTTTGGTGGGTACGCATATTCCTGCCAATCTTAATTTTATTTTTCTTGAAAGTATTAGCTTGGGTATACTTAATTGCTTTAATAGTTTTACAAAATAAAAATAGTTTACACCTTTATTATTTTTATTACTAAGATGAGTATATGATTTAAATTGATCTAAATCATTTATTATTATATAGTATACATGACATGATTCTATAAGACCAGTAAACATTACTTGACCTAATTATACTTGTCCGGATAAATATAATAGAAGTATTACAAATTTATTAAACAATTAACTTATTATAAAATAATATTATACAACTACGATGAGGTAATGTCAGCAAATGTACCACATGGATTTGTTAAAATAGTATATACTTCTGAAATTCAATCAATGTATAAATATAAGTGAAAAGTATAATCATGATAAAAATAACAATGAATTAATACACTTTTACGAAGGAACTACAACCTAATATACAATTGATATGTGTTGCCTGTCACAACCGGAGAATACACCCCAGATGCGATCCGCGTCGGCGTCCTCTCAGAGGACTCAGACAAGCCCTTAGCATTAGTCATAACATGTAATCAACAATAATTGCAGAAAAATTTAAGACTTTTACATATTTACGAAGTATACTTAGACTTCATACTTAACTTTCATGATAACATACGATATTCTAAAACTTGTCTCACATATATTTAAACCACCTAAAGAGTACAAATTTTGACTTAGCCAATAAATAATAAATATGTCTTATAGCCTTAATACAAAAGAATCCAAAAATCATAAATGGAAATTTAATATTCTTAAAATCTACTAATGTCTTCATAAGCTGGAATATGAAAGATAGCATCTTCTAACATGAGGACCTACCAACACTTGGAGAAACAGTTCCTAACTTCTTCAATCTACCTTCAAAATTTTCAATAAACGAAACCTATATTTGTAGTAACATAAAGTAATGGGGTTAGTACGGCACATGTACTAAGTAGGGGTATATGCACATAACATTCAAGAACATGCATGAAAAAGGATATTTATCAATTCTTTAGAAAGCATACTATGTCATGTGAATATCTTTAATGCACATAACATAGTACATGTACCAATTAAGGTTTTCATCAATGTACAACATGATTATAATCAAAGACATATTATCATGGACTCATGTTAGCATTTCATATTCAATAGATCCTATAAACATATTTAAAATGACCTCTTGGGGAAAGGAATTGGAAGAGTAAAGAACACATATCTTAATGAATATTAATCCACGAAAATTGAGTGAAATCCTAGAGAAATTGGTCTTCTTCTTCAAGCTTTCTTCCTACTTCAATGGAGGTTGAATTGAGAGAGAAAGTAGAGAAAGGTGAGAGCTTTTGTGTTTTGATTTGAGGATCTGATTGGATCAGTAAAATGTGTGGGAAAATGATCTAAATTTAATATATAGGCCTCCCACTAAATACCTTAAATACCCCTCACTTAAGTTGACCCTTTAATGAAGTCCAATTTGAATTCCAAATTTCAGATTTTCGTTGGGGAACAAGTCCGCGAGGCGAAGCTTCTTCCGCAAGATTTTCTAAATTATTTTTCGATACACTAGAGACCGCAAACCAGACTTTATTTTGACCAAGGTCCCATAAAATTTGCGACGCGGACATATTCCTTCCATGTGTATTTTTGCTGCTGCTTTGGCAGCTTGCCAGGTCAAGTTTGGGGTCCCTTCGTGGACCCCTAGGGCGACCATTGGGGGTTGTACCTGAACATTTTTACTTTTTATACATGTTTTTACCTATCCAAAGTTATTTTACGAGTTTTAGACCTCATACAACACCTCCAAACCTTCCCTAAACCTATGGACATTTCACCAGTTCAATTTGACTAGATTTTGGATGTCTAGGACGTTTCTTGATGTCTTGACTCTAAAACATCCTAAATGGTTTATAAAAATTATATTAGGCTTAGAAAAAGTGTTAATAACCTTATACCAACATGTGAGGATCTAGCTTACGTCATGGACTTTTGGAATGTTACATTTTTGCATATGTCATACTTAGTACAAAGCTTGTACTAACCCCATACTTTTATATACTCAATAAGTATAGTTTGGAGGCAAGATTACGGTTAGAATTCAATCTTGGGATTTGACTATATCAAGTCTAAGTATGTCATCATATATTCGAGGGCATATTCGTTATTTATTTAGTTCTTCTTTAGGACTTGTATAAGACTTATTATGCGTTTTCTTTCAATGTAAAGGGTCATGTTACTAAGATATTTTAGTTGTGTCTTTAAGTTGGCTTTTGATGATGAGACTACTCTATTTATAAAGTATTTCCTTATTATTAGTATTATCATGAAAATTTTACATTCTGCAGTACTTTTCATATCTTATCTAATAAATGATAGCTAAGAGGCTAGTACAAGACCTTTGAAAGGTCATGTACGCAATTGTTCTAACCCAAGAGTTTCCCTAACTTCTAGGGGGTACTTTTGAGTCGCTAAAAGCTTGGTATTAGAGTATAAGGTTCTTGGAAATAGTTTACGGTCTAAAATCTCTGAAGCCACGTCTAATAAAGTCTTGTTCATCGGTGTAAGTCGCAATACACCCATTAGTGAGAGGCTATAAGGCGATAGAAGTTTCAGTTTCTTCATTATTCTAGTGTTGTGCCATATACTTAAGTTCAATAAGATGTATTTCTCAACCTCTTCTCTTATGCTTATAGAAGATGAATACAAGGAGGATACCCGCTAGAAAGAAGAAGGGAGGAGTAGTTAATGACAAGATCCCTTGTGGTGAGCAAGTCCTGATAGTTGTCCAATAGGAAGTGCATGAGGAGGTTCCCCCTCATGTGCCTCAAGAACCTCATGTTCGCCAAATGCCTCCTATACGGCAAGGTCTCTTAGTAGAAGGGAATATTACTAATGTGGAGATAAGGGCTGACCTTATGAGTTTGACCTGACTCATGATGACTCAAGCTCATGTCGTCAGTAATCATTTGGTTGCCCAAGCTAACCGAGGAGTTTGACCTTAACATAATGCAAGTACTCTCGCATCTAAAATTTGTGATTTATTGAGGATAAACGCTCATACTTTTAATGGCTCTAAGGTAGATGAAGATCCACAAATCTTCTTATACGAGGTGTTCAATATGATAGATGCTATGGGTGTGACCCCTATAGATAAAGAGGAATTAGTCCCTTATCAACTCAAAGATGTGGCTCAAGTGTGGTTTCGGAAAGGGAGGGATTAGAGACCCTTGGGGGAAGGTACGGTAGATTGGGAAGTGTTCAAAGTGGCTTTTCTTGATAGGTTATTACTTTTAGAGTTGAGGCAGAATAAGATGGTGGAATTCATGAACCTTCATCAAGGGGGAATTAGTGTGAAAGAGTACTTTGTTATATTCAACCAGCTCTATCAATATGCCCAAACCATAGTACCAAACACTAGGTCTAGGATGAACAAGTTTGTGATTAGGGTGCCTAGATTGGTGGAAAAAGAGCATCGTACGACAATGCTCGTTAATGATATGGATATTTCTTGGCTCATGGTGTATCCTTAACAAATTGAGGACTCCAAGCTTAGGGAGAGAAATAGGTATGGAAAGAGGCCTAGGGTGGATTAACCTAGTCAACCCAAACCTAAGAAGAGGTTTTATTATCAAGAGTCTTCTACAGGAACAAGGATAGGGTTTCCGACCAAAATTCCCAAGGAGGTGTCCATGCT